TGCCATTCTTGTAATGTTATGGATGTAAGTTCATGTAGTACTATTGGTGCTTGTTGGGTAATGCGAGATGTACTGATTGTGGTTTCTGTTGGTATTTGTTCGGTTGTGATTATGTTGTTGGAGTAGTTTCTCATTTCTATTGTTGTTGCTGTTATGTCGTTATTGGATGTTTCGAAATCTGACCATGTTAGGATGTTATCTATTTGTTTGTTTGTTAAGAGATTCGTTTCACTGGTGGGAGAGTCCTTCAAATCAAAGGTGTTTCTACTGTTCATGTTCCCTATTAATATTCTGATGGATGGATGGTTGAGATAGGATTTTGACTAAAGTATTAATTGTCGTTATGATTTGATTCATGCTTCTTTGCATTCTATCAAGCGATGCAAAAAGTTGTGTTTGTTGGTCTTTAATGTCATCAATATTGTTTTCCTGTGTTGCCTGAGATTTTTGGTGGGTAAGTTGTTTTTCTCTGAATTCTTCTGTCTGTTCACTTTCCATTGATTTATAGTATTCTTCGTTGTGATATTCTAGGTTGGTAATGTGTTCATCAAGCTCTGTGATTTTTCCTTTCACTTCTGTTAGGTCTCTTTGTATTTGTCTCAATATTGCGATAATTTCTGTCATGGAGTTGAGGTTGTTTTCCTTTTGTTGTGTTTGTGTTTTGAGGGCATTTGCATATGATCCAGCTCTGATTTGTTCCTGGGGTTTGGATCTATTGATGTTGCGAATGTTATCTGTCTTGGCGGGTCTGAATTTGTTATAAATTGCTCCGAATTTTAATGCTTGTTCTTGATGGTATTCTTGCCATTGTTGTCAGCATTGTTTGATTGGGCAGTCTTTGGCCAGGTGACTTGTTGAATTGCATATTGCGCACAGTTTAGTAGTGATTGGTATGAAAGTTAGTTCTGTTTCTCCTAGGATGTATTTGTCTTGGACTGCTTCTAAGAGGTCTTCCTGTGTTTCAAAACTAATTACTGCAAACCGTCTAGCTCTGTAGTAAGTGGTTGCTGTTCTAGGGATGTAACATGTACAACCCTTGCACTGTGTTAGGATATTTTTGAGATCCCATGCTGTTGTGTTGGAGGGCAGGTTAGTTAGCTTTGCTGCGATTTCGTGTCTTTCCTTCATTTGGCCGATAGACCATTCTGCATCGTTAATTCTGACAGAGTCCCCTTTGATTAGGATGCTCCTTTTCTTGATTAGGTTCTCTTTGGTTGATCTTTCCTTGAAGGTTATTGTAGCACATTGCCATAGGTTCTGTGTACTTACAGTAACTCCTATGATTTCCCCGAATTTGGAAAATGCTTGTTTAATCTCAATGAGTTTTGTGTTCAGGGGATGTCCCAGACCATAATGGAGTTTCCTTTGTTGATGTCTTGGCATGTGATTTTCATGTGTTTAAGCTTGTGACCATCCATTTCAGGAATGTCTATGGAGGTTGTGTAATCTGCTGCTTGTTGATCACTAAAATGGCGATGATTTTTATATTTTCGTTTTTCTCCTCACTGCGGACTGCCAAGAGTCCTTCAGGTGAGTTGAGTACAAGAAGGATGTGTTCTATTTTCTGATTGCTGGTTCTTCCTTTGACTAGATCAGCATCGATTTCTACTTTGTATCTTTCTCTTCCATACCTGGTTGCTCTGTCGAATAGGGATCTTGGTCTTGGTC